GAGACAGAGCAAGTGAGCAGGGGAGGGGCAGAGAGAAAGGAGGAGGGAGAGAATCTGAAGCAGGCTCTTGCACTGTCAGTGCAGAGCCTGAGGTGGGGCTTGAACTCACGAACCATGAGATCATGACCTGAGTTGAAATCAAAAGTCGGACACTTAACCGACTGAGCCACCAGGCACCCCAGCATATTTTATATATTTATATATTTTATAAATAACTATTTTGAAAAAAAGTTCAAACTTATTGCTATTTATAAATAACTGAGGATATTTAAGATATAAGAAACTGAAAGCTTTCATTCTGTTCTAGAGACCATAATATATAGAATTTGGAAAATTATCTTTTGATCAGTATGTTTTGTATTTCTTACCTTTCCCAGGATACAAGATTCCTTTCCTTTGAGGTGTCCTCAGGAAAACCACCCTGAATAATTCAGTAATAGGATAGATTGAGAAAGGGCAAAGAAAAAACACACAACACTCACATTTTCTCTTATAATAATCTAAACTGATTTATGTACGCATGTGCACACGTGGGTAGAGAAAAGAGAAATGTTCTTGTTCTAATTTTTTAGGTCAAGTGCTTCAAGTAATATTAAAATTGTATCCTAAGCTGACAAGAAAGGAATTTATTAAATATTCCAAATGGCCAAATAATAAGTATTATTTGATTAAAATATAATATAGTCCTGGAACCTCTACATTAAGGAACAAGGGAACATCTTGCAATAGTTTCTAAGGGAATATAAAATTTGATTAACTAAAAATTCCACTTTAACTTATCCTTACATTTATTTTCTCTTATATTTATTTTCAATATTCACACACTAATTCACTCTGTTCATTTTCACCATTTCATATAACCCGGGAGTAAAGTGTTCCCTGCATTAGTCCAGACAGAAAGTGACAACTTCTAGTACAAATCAATGTGGGACTATCACTCAGGATCTGACCTGTCATCTTTTCTGACAAAATGTTCCCATATTCTTATACAGTCATCTGTAATTTTGGTTCTATATCATGGACAAAATAACCACAACATTACAGAACTACCATCCTTCTTAAAACTGAAAAACCTGAAAATAAATATTCAAATATTAATGTCCAGAATAGTCACAGATTGTTCTGACTTAAAAAAATGCCAGTGTAGTCTTTCAAGGGAACGACATGTTCACTTTATAACGCCCCATTAAATACTTACAGATACTCTGGAACTGGCTCTTACTCGAGCAACAAACTCTTTCTCTTTCTCAGCAGCTTCCCTCTGGACCTTTTGAAAGTTTGTCAGTGATGTTGTGAATTGAGCCACTAAGCGATCCTTCTGTATTTTCCTCTGACGCTAGACGAAAGGGGAGAAACGTACTAGAATCAAGCTGTGAAGTTCTAGAGAATTCGCAGAAGTTGTTTCACCACTACTTGGCTCTTTATTTTATTCTGAAATTTTCACTCACTCCCCAATTATGGGGCCTCACTGATTAACTCTCAATTACATTTCGACAGTGTGTCCAAATACTATGTATATTTACCACCTTGAGACAAAAGGTCCAAAATGCTGGATTTCTCACCTCATATTTCCATCCTAAAGACTGGGCCATGATTTTGAGATTATTTTGAAGTAGCTCCTTTTGTTTTCTTTTTAGGAAAATAAAACCTTGTACTCTTACCTAAGTAGTCACTTCCACTAAGTAATAAGCAAGGAAACAAATATGTGCCCCTAGGAAACCTCACATCTTGAATGAGTGTGCACGTCTCAAGGAGTCAGCCCTGGAAAGCCAGGAAACAATTACTCAGGAAGCATTTTCTGAGCACTTGCTTAATTATGGGTCAGGGCAACTTCATGGAAATAATTCTTGCTTTATTGAACCACAGGATACTACCTGGGCAATTAAATATAGTTTTGTGTTCTGTGAACTAATCTCAAATACAATTTTTCCCCCTTGATTTCCTTTCTAGCATAACAGTTCAAAGACCCTACAATGCATGTGATTTCTTTCACATTCAATACATCAACAATGTGTCTTAAGGCTTGATACCTGTTCGCTGGGGGTGGTGGGCAGGGATCCAAACTCTTTAATGTACTTATCTGTCTCTTTGGCAAGCTGGTTAGTATACTGCTGCTTCTGTTGCCTACAGTGAGAAAACACACATTATTGCCAAAGAGCGAAGAGATTTCTTTAAGTTACAATGCTGCCAGTTGAATCAATCCTGATGAATACTTTGATAAAAATCCCCCCCCCCTTTTCTTATAGGCTGGCTCTAAATCTTCTCTATGAAAACAAAAATGTCCAGGTTCTATTTTTTGATAGATATTGAGCAAATATTACATGGAAAGTTCTTTACTCACACATGGCAACCAAGCTTTCAGAAATCAGTAGTCACTTAGAAAGGAAGATGACCGGAGCCAAAGGCAGACTGTGGGATGTGTGATGTTGCAGATAATTTGGGGGGTGGGGGGGAGCCTTTTGTCTGCATCCTGCAACTGGGAGGTTAGCTGAATAAATGACGAAGGTCTGTCGCCTGAGACTCTGTCCAGTTCTCAGGGCTGGAGGTACATGTATCCTCTCCTCTTTCTCTATCTGGACATTTGTATCCTTCTACATACTTTTAAAAAAAGAGGGGAGGAGGTAATAAATAATAATATACATTTACTATTTTTTAAGTTTGCTGTGGAAAAAATAATAGCATTTCTCTGTAAAGAGAAAGCACCGTAAGAAATAAGTTATATCAGTATCTGTATCTATCTTGCTAGCTAATCAAGTAAAAAAGTCAGATTTTTTAACTAAAGAACTTGACTAAAAACAAAATAAGCTCATACTAATGTGATGCTTTACAAATTACAACGTTAGTACTTCTCATTTATATTATCTCTCATTTTAAACACCTATATGAGTCATACTTAGGATCCCGTAAAATAATGAGATACTGTGTAAGAGTATTTTAAAGCACAGATAACTGTATTTGATTGATAAGGAAGAATTACAAACTATTGTTATCTATTTACCAAGTCCACTGCCTTTAACAAACCTTTCAATATCTTTAGGAAATGAAATACAGCTACATTTCTGAAAAGAAGACCTTACTGATATCTACTTATTCACAATCTCCACTACCAACCTTAGCAAATATTATAACTATTAAGAATTATGTGTTCCTGTTCCATTTTAGTTTAACAAATGATGGGTTATTATTTAAACTTGGGGCATTTTTACCACCCCAACATCTCTCCACTGTAGAAAACATCAGTATAAATTAGACCTAACTATAAATTCTTCAAATTGTACTTCATAAAAAACATGATTTCCTACCATCTATCTTTGAATTTCTTGCTCTTTGCAATTTTTCTTTTCTTTTTTTTTTTTTTAAGTTTATTTATTTTGAGAGAGAGAAGAAGCACAAGAGGGGGAGGGCAGAGAGAGAGTGGTGACAGCGAGAATCCCAAGCAGGCTCCACACCACCAGTGCCGAGTCCGACGTGGGGCCCGAACTCCCATGAGCCACCCAGGTGTCCCTGCAATTTTTTCCTTCTATAGCTAATGTTGTTTGGGATCTCATTTACTGCATATTTATCACTTGCAATTGGGATGTAACAACACTGAATTAAGATTTAAGATTCAGGTTCAGAATAATGTTAGGCAAATCATCAAACCCCCGAGACACATTTTCCTTACAAGAGAAACAAAAATAATTATTTTGATCTATGTATTTCACTCTAATTTTGTAAGATTCAGGTGAGAAACTGTGTAAAAATGCTGTAAAATCTGTAACACCACAAAATATCATTGCTGTTCTTCTAGCAGCATATTAATTTACTGAAACATGTATTGCATAACTTCATCAGAACTTTTTATTTTATTTTTTTTAAACAGAGGCTAATGCTTTCTGAAATTCAAAGATGTAGGTATAAGTGTTTAGAGGGCTAACAATTCATATTGAGTAAGTACTGGATCTAAACCAAATAAAAATCTAGTCACTGAAGGAACTGTCAGCTATGGGAAGAAAATCACATAGAGAAGCTTAGAGTATCATTTTCCAAAATCCATCAGAACAACCTATTCAAGAAGTGTAAGAAAGGCAACTAAGGAAGTTCTGCTTTGCTGGAGTAAGCTAGCTCTTCAAAGAAAAACATCTGCTTACCCTGAACAAGGAAAAACCAACACAAAAGCTTGGTTCAAATAAGGTAGCTGAAAAATTTTATTAATTTTCCATTATTTCTCTGGTGAACATAACATGACATACCATCAAAGCAACCTAACAGTGGTTTTTTTTTTTTTTTTCCTTTCTTTCTTTTTTGTATTAAATACTTACAGTTGTTGCCTAAGTTCAGGTGAATCTTGAGGCGTTCCAAGTTGATTCAGGGTCCTCTGTATTTCCACAGCTATTATGATGGAAAATAAATGTATAATTGTTACAAAGGTTAGGGCAATAGAAATTACGTTAGAAATTAATACAGGCAATTGGGCACTTAGAAAAAGAAAAATAAAGACATGAATATAGAAAACGTTGAGAAAAAATTAAAAATGAGTGGTTTAAATCTAATTAGAATAATGCATTAATTTTCAAGAGGAAATTGTGTGGGGGCGTTAACATGTAAAACTGCACTTATGATCCAGAAGTATTTTCTTCCCTGCCCCTCAGAACATTTAGAACAATGGCACACTTAGCTCTAACAGGCATAAAAACTGTAAGGAAAATAATTGTAACAGTTACACAAGTTAGTAGAATATAAAATGAATGAATTATTGTTAATAAACAAGGGAGGAAAAATAGAATTGAAATAATTAATTTGGAATTTTCTATGTAATAATAGAGGCAGGCAAGCATCATAAAGAATGTTGAAATCACAAAATAGTCGCAGAATCTCAAATTATCCTCAGATGACATTAGTTATAAAAGAGTTAACTTCATCTTAGATAAATTTGTTGCTTAAAACAAAATGATCAAATTTAGCAGCACCAATGAGACAACCCGGCAGGATAAGCTTCCTGATGGGATGCAATGAGAAGGTCATAACATGATCCATGCAATGTTTAACCTGAAACTAATCATGAGGAGAAAAAAATCGGACCAATCTAGATTGCAAGATAATCTACAAAAAAACTGGTCTAGGCTTTTAAAAATGTCATTTTCACGAAAGGGGAAAAAAAAAGACAAGGCAGATGGGCTTTCCAAATTAAAGAACTAAAGCACCCATAAGGCAATGTTGGATTTTGGAGTGGAATCTAAATCGGAATGAAAAACATGCTATAAAAAAAAAAAAAATGTGGGGCAACTGAAGAATCTTGGGTTTCGATTTTGAAATTTGAATTTGGAGAGAGAGATACTAAACAAAAGTGTAAAAACGTCAACAACTCGTGAACCCAGGTAAAAGGTATAGTTCGCTGCCCTATACTTTTCTGTAGGTTTCAAACATTCAAAATTAGAAGTCAAGAGTTAAAATTCATGCTAAGCTCACAAAGTCTATAAATGCGCCAACTTTTTTTTTTAAAAGGTTATTTCTCACAAAAGGGGAGGTCCTATAGCTTTACGCATGTGTACAGGCAAATAAAATGTCAAGTACAAGCTGAAAATCCATCTGAAAGTAAAGAATTTACACATTTCCAAAAACAGAAAAGAAAAGAAAAGAAAAGAAAAGAAAAGAAAAGAAAAGAAAAGAAAAGAAAGTATGTTCACCATAGCAAACAAAAGAGATGAGCTATAATGCGTATTTATTTTTGGTCACCTAATACCTAGAATTCTTTTTTTTTTTTTTTTTTTTCAACGTTTATTTATTTTTGGGACAGAGAGAGACAGAGCATGAACGGGGGAGGGGCAGAGAGAGAGGGAGACACAGAATCGGAAACAGTCTCCAGGCTCTGAGCCATCAGCCCAGAGCCTGACGCGGGGCTCGAACTCACGGACCGCGAGATCGTGACCTGGCTGAAGTCGGACGCTTAACCGACTGCGCCACCCAGGCGCCCCAATACCTAGAATTCTTAATTATATCCAGATCTTCTTCGTTATAATATCATGATCACTGAGAAATATATCATCGCAGATCCAGTCTTAGGGAGAAAAAAACCCTGATTGTTAAAGCAGTAAAACTGTTCTCAGAGTCTCTGCATTTTGCTTACCTCCACCAAGACTAATATGGGTAATTAATAATAAGAGACCTCGTAGCAGTCATAAAAAGAAAGGCAGACTCTTAAACGAGGTATTTGTAAACAAAAGCCAGATTTAGTCAGTGCTATTTAGATTTTATAGATACTGAAATTCCTTACAAGTCAAATGTTCTAGATGATGACCTTCCTCTCACTCAGAAACAATTCTTTTAATAACACAGTATCTTATAAAATGAAGTTAATTAGGAATGCTACCATGATGTTACTGCCTAACAGAATGCATTGAATTGAGTGCTAAATGCTTTTCATGAATACTTTTTCATGAAGATATAAGGAAAATAAGGCCTCCTACTCTCTCGTCCAAAAAAGGGAAAGAAAGCACATCACGTAAACCCTGAGGGGAAGCAGGAGAGTAAATGCTTCAAATAAAGAGCTACAAAATTGGTCTGCTATGGGAGGGTAATCAAAAAAGCCTAAATGGAGGTGGTACTGGTAACAGTTTCAAAGTGTAAGAAATGGGACACTTCAGTCCTGGAGACTGAAACCTCCGATGCCATACCTGCATATAAATTGAAATAATTACATTACTCACTGTCTCCCTGACTTGAAAGTAAACTAGTCTTATTAGTTTTTGTATATCTAACACTCACCACATTGTTGACACTCAAGGAATATTTTATTTATTCATTCATTTTTTAAAAAGTTTACTTATTTATTTTTGAAAGAGAAAAAGATCATGAGCAGGGGAGGGGCAGAGAGAGAGGGAGACAGAGAACCCCAAGCAGACTCCATGCTGTCAGTGCAGAGCCTGAAGTGGGGCTTGAACTCACAAACCATGAGATGGTGGCCTGAGCCAAAATCGAGAGATGGACACTTAACCAACTGAGCCACAGAGGCACCCCAACACTCAATGAATATTTTAAAGGCTGACCACAAAAGGGCATTAGGAAGAACAAATCTTATGTAAGAAAGGGTATGTATTTCTAACATAAAGCATCTGTAAGAAGGGAGTTAAGAAAAGGAAGGGTGCTCAACTAGTCATTTATTCAACATTTACTGAGTATTCACTATGTATCAGGCACAGTGGGAGGGGTTTAGAATGTCAACACTGATTCAAGGTGATCCTTTAATTTGTAGAGCTCTACACTTAAGGCTCAAAGGTATCATGTGATCTGACAAAAGGCCGATGGAAACATAGCTGAAATTACTGAATCAAGCTTAGGAGAAGTATTATGTGGCATTAGTTTAATCCTATTTTATAAACAAAAATGCTGAGAATCGGACGGAATAACTGACTTGTCCAAGAAATCAGTTATTTAGAAGAGCTAAGATTAAAAATGTAGATTTGGGGGTTTTCAAAACAATATTTTCAGTGTGCTACAAGGGCTAGAAGTAAAAGACTTTTTAAAAAAGATTACTGCATAATCTAGGTGTATGTATGCCAAAGCAAACAAGCAAGCAAACACAAAAATAAGTATATGCTAACTTGGAATAAAGAATTGAGCTGTAAGTTTCATGGCCCTTCTGTGGATCACAAAGGCTGGTCAGCCTGGCTACAACTGATCAGGAAATAAATGCCTGTCCTTTCTTCAGATCTTATGAACTGGCAAGATTCCAGAGACCTCATTTTCAATGACTGGTGTTACCCTTTTACATCAGTGTCAGCAAATTATGGCCTGTTTTGTACTGCCTTCCAGCTCGGACTAGTTGTTACATTTTTAAAGAATTTAAAAAAAAATACCAAAAACAAACAACAACAAAAAAGAAGAATATGCAGGAGACCAGACGTGGCCACAAAGCTGAAAATATTTACTCTTTGGCCCTTTAGAGAAAAGTTGGCCAATCCCTGTCCTAAATCAGTAAAAATTGCTAAAACTTTGTATTCACAAACTCTGAGTCAGTGTGTTACTTGAATGTACTAAGTACTCACTATGTTACTAAGCCTATGTGGTATAATATTTAACAATGTTGCAAATTTTTCACCAAGCAGGCATGTAAAGGCGGAGTTGAATTTCTGCAATTTTCAGAAAGAATAAGTAATCAGTACATCACAGGTGCTGGTTTGACAGATTATTTCAAGGGCTGCTCTTTTCTCATTAATTTAGAAAGAATTACAGTTACTTTGTTGCACACTGGAGGAAAATTTTTGCAGAGTACCCTCCAGAGTTTCATGAAACATGAAAATTAAGGAACAAATTCTTTACATAACCATAAACAGGGTCTCAAAGAAAAATTCACCTAATACACAGAGGTACGATTAAATCAAGATGCACCTCTATAAGAATGCAATGAACACATTATTTTTGCATTACCTGCACCATTACACTTCTAGAGAGGTGACTTTAAAGAATACATCCCACTTTTCTATAACATAAAGAGAATACTACTACCTATACATCCAGAAAAGGTACATTAGTATTTCCTCAAAAACAAAGCAGTCCCCCTTTCTGGCTCTTACTTCAGTACAGAAGACCTATTCTATTCCACACGGGTCTGCTGCCATCTAGTGGAGTACTTAAGAAAAATGCTCCATTGCAAAGAATAAAAATCTTTTGCCATCGTAGGCAGCAGTTGGTATGAGGGGCTATGTAATGTCCCAACCTGTCAGAGGTCACTGGGGTGCGGGAGGATGCTGTCTGACCAGTGAGAGTGGCCGGCGTGAGGGAGCACCTAGGCCAGCCCTAACAGGCACATAGTGCATTCAAAGAACTATCTCCAAAAAACAGAATACGGCTATCTTCTCTTCTAAGAGTAAATATTCCCATTGCTCAACCCAAAAAACAACTCAGAATTGTAACAGCCAATCACAGAAAAAAAACAAAACACAAAACCGTGGCTAGGAAAACCCTTGAGCAGGTGATGTTGAGACTGACTCAGTGTCAGCCACACCACACTCAGAAGTATAATGCTGACCAGCCAGCAGCCTCGGAGCCAGACAGCCTGATTTGGAAACCTGACCTCACTTCTTCCTAGCTGCTGACCTTCAGCCGTTTACCTAATCTCTCTAGGCTATCATTGCCTCAACAGTCAAACGGAGAGAAAATTACCTCTTTCTCAATTGCCATGAACTTCAACAGAAAACGATGCGTGTAAGCACTTTGTACTGGATATTGTAAGAATGAACTCAATACATGGACAACTAATGGTACGAAGGGGTTTATGTCTTTCTCCTGAAAGTCAGAAGTGAATAAGAAAATTCTCTTTTTTTAATGTTTATTTATTTATTCTGAGAGAGAGAGAGAGAGAGAGAGAGAGAGAGAATACAAGTGGGAGGGGG